AATTCTGTACAAAACGACAGTCTCAAAGCCATTAAAGTATATGCTAGAGAGTTCAGAACACTCAACATCCAGGATGCTAGAAGCAAGAGGCCACATGACTTGGGGTTCATGATAACCATGTAGTGCAGTGGATGACAGATAGCCACAAACCGGTCATAGGCCATCGCTGTCAAGAGGAAATTTTCTAATGCTCCAAAAAGAAGGAAAAAGTGCATCTGGGTGATGCAGTCTTCATACCTAATAATTTTATTCTGAGTCTGAATGTTCAGCAGCATCTTTGGGACAGTGGTGGAGCTGAAACAAATGTCTGTAAAAGAGAGGTTGGAGAGGAAGAAATACATGGGTGTGTGGAGGTGGGAGTCCGTAATGATGGCCATGATGATGAGCAGGTTCCCAGTGAAGGTGACCAGGTACATGGACAGGAACAGTCCAAAGAGGAGGGGCTGAAGTTCTGCCTTTTCTGAGATCCCCAGAAGGATGAATTCTGGAGTATGTGTTTGGTTTTCTGGTTCCATGTAGCTGACGAAACTACTAGAAAAGAGAAAAGAGCAATGCAAACTTAGTCGTGAACAATTAGCAATTTAACAGATGTGTTGCTGTTTATATTTTGTTGTTTATTTGTTTACTGCCATAAAGTCGGTTCTGACTCATAGAGACTCTGTATAGGGTTTCCAAAGAGCAGCAGGTAGATTTGAACCACTGACCTTGTAGTTCAAACCAATTTTAAACTTGTTTAATAAATTAATTTCTGTGCACTATAGAATAAGCACTGAACTGCTAACCACAAGGTTTGTAGTTCCAAGCCACCAGAAGCTTTTCAGAAACGCTATAAAGGGTCACTCTCAGTCAGAACTGACTCAACAGCAATAAAACAACAGCAACAACAAGTGACCTTTAGCTGAGAATTTCATGAAAACCCAAATGCTCTATCTTCTCCTTGATCCTGAAGTTGACTAGCCTTCATTATGTCTTGTCTAAAACATTTATGGTGGTATCATCTTCTATAAATTACTTGAGACTTTATTTTGTTCATTTAACAATTATTTTTGACCAGTTATTTTGCAACAAGTGTTTTCTTTACCTCACTTGTCTGTCAGTTTGTCGTACTTTGGTGACTTGAGTGTTGCTATGACGCTAAAAGCTATGCTACCAGTGATTCAAATCCCTTTAGGGTCACCCATTACTGACAAGTTTCAGCAGATTTTACAACAAAGAAAAGATCAGGAAGAAGGAATGAGCAGTGCACTTCTGAGGGTTTCGTCACTGAAAATCTTACAAACAGAAGGGTAATGTTATTTAATGTAGTGCTAAAAGATGAGCCTGTCTGGTTTGAAGGACTCAAAATATGACTGGGAAAGATCTACCATTGAAGGTTAAAGAATACAGTCTGCAGTGTGGATATAATTCAGTGTAAAGAAAACAAAAATACAACTGGACCAATAAACATCATGATAAATGAAGATATTGAATTTGTTTACTTGAATTCACAATCTATGCTATTGGAAGCATCAGTTAAGAAATCAAGCATAGACTTCCAGCAAGATGGTGAACCTTATATAGATCCTCTACAACAAAGACTCCAATCCTCCGAACCCACTGCCATTGAGTTGTTTCTGACTCACTAATGATCATATATAGTGTTTCTGAGACTGTAAATCTTAATAGATGTAAATAGCCTCATCTTTCTCCAATGGAGTGGGTATTGAACTTAAACCACCAACCTTGTGGTTAGTAGGACAGTGGGTGAACTGCTGACAGGCCTGATGTAGCATGACCATTTTGAACTTTTGAAGACAGCACTCTATCAAAACAGCTGATTGATAACACAATGACACACTGCTGATTGGCAATGAAAAGCTTGCAATTCTCCCTTGTTCCCCATACCTTTCTAGTGACCAGAAGCATGGACAGACCCCATTACCCACCTCTATGCACAGACTGTTCTATTCCAGAGGTTGGACCCATGCCATTGTGAATTGGGTGCCATTTTTACCATCACCTCATCTGAAGACGTGTGAACTCCACCTCATCAGACCAACAGAATGCTCAGTGCTGGATTCTGGCCACCCCTGGGGGAGTAAAAGTTCCTTCGATAAATAATGACCCTACCCCCTACTTGTCCTCTGGGACTAAGAGATCCTTCTTGGAACAAGGACCCTGATCTCAGCCACCTTCTGAGCCCATACAAACTACTTCAGGATCAGGTGCTCTGATCATAGACAACACTGAGGCTAGCAGAAATTCCATCTAGGGCCGGCCTCTCAGCCCTCTACCTGCCTCATGTGTTTCCTGCTGGCAGAGGGTGGTAGAGGATGCCAATCCAAACTGGATGATGTAGACCCCACAGTTTTCTCTTCTCTGGGTCTGACCATTGCCTACAGTTTTTGGTTTTGGATTTTTCCTCCTTTCTTTCTCCATTTGTTTTTACCTTTACTTCTGTTTTCCTTTTTTCTTGTTTTTTCCATTTTCTTTTTTTCTCCTCCCTTCTTGTCGCTTTTTTTTTCTTCTTAGTTTTATTTCACTCTTATCTTTTTTTTCTTTTCTTATTCCTACCACTAGTTTTGGTTATTGTTGGGTTTGTTTGGGGTTTTTTGCTTTTTTTTTTCACTTTCTTTGTTTAATTTTCCTTTCCCTTTTTTCTCTTTTTAATTATCATATTGTTTTTTCCTTGCTGCAGACTATTGGGCTTCTTGTCCTTTATTCTTTTTTTATTTGCTGTAGTTTGCTTGTTTCTTTTCTCTCTCTCTTACTTTTTTCTTGCCTCACTCAAAAGGAGACCGAAAGTGTATCCATACAGTCCAGCCACAACCATTTCTCTTGTGGCCCCACCCACTCAGATAGGACTTCGATCAAGTCCTCTAACTGATCAATGACAGACAGCAGCCAACACCAGCAAAACCCACCCTGAACTGCAATACACAAACAGTGAACAGAGTACTACACACACCCTTTCATATTCTATCACACCCATAAAAGGGCAGGGGATGAGGGTATAAAAATGTACACATAAACAATCATCAATTAAATACAAATACAATGACAACACAATGCCTTGAAGACAACAATTTCAGTTCCCATGAAGAGACAGAGTGGCTCAAGCAAATGGCTAAAATTCAAATCCAATAAATATGTCTAAGGAATAAATGCTGTGGGACCTACCTGATGAAGAAATCAAAACAATGATATTAGCATATCTCCAACAAATTGAAAGATTGAGAAAGCTGGAATCGAAAACAAGAGGAACACATTTTAAATAATAAAAAAACTGAAGAATTCAGAAAAAAAAAACCAACAAGGCCAAACATACAAAATAAATGAAGAATTAGAACCCATATAAAAACAGCAAATAGAAATCCAGAATATTAATACTGAAAATTCAGAAATAGATAACACATTGAAAATAATACATTGAGTCAGTGGAGAGCTGAATAAGTGAGCTTGGAGATAAATTTTTCAATATTCATCTGCTAAAAGAACAATGAGCAAAAAGGAAATCAAAAGAAGGTATAAGAATTATGTAGGCCACCATCAAGAATAACAACTTACATTTGATTGGAATTAAAGAACATGAAGAAAGCCAAAACAAAAAAAACAAAAAAAAGCACACAAAAAAGTGTCAAAGAGTTGTTGAAAACATTTTCCTATCATCACGACAGAAAGATATGCATTCAAACAGTTGAATGAACCCCGAACAGCATAAACCCCGCAAGAAAATCACCAAGACATATTACAAGCAAACTTAACAAAACCTAAAGAATGTTGTATCATCTACATATCACAGATTGTTAATTAGTCTTCTTCCAATCCAAAGATGCCCCATTCTTCTTCATATAATCTAGTGCCTCAGATTATTTTCTCAGTATGGTGAGAGCAAGTCTTTCTTGATTTTAAACCAGTCAGTGCCCTTCTGTTTTAGTCTACATTATAAGTTCCTCATGAGCACAATCAAGTCAAGTGTTCTGGAGTATTCATTCTTGCAATATTATCCATAGCTTGTCATGACCTACATAGTTTACCATTTTTCTGGTATTTTTTTGCTTTAAGCCAAGAATCATCTGATGTCAGCAATGATACTCCATATTTTATGTTCTCCTCTGAACTGTGGCAGTTCCCTGTCAATTTACTGTTGCAG